GGGGGAGGCTGTCCCTGTGGGGTGCTCTGCCATGGCGGGGACGGCAGGTCCTCCACGGGGTGCGGGTGCTCTGTGGGGGTGTTCTGCCACGGAGGGGGGGTGAGGGTGCTCTCTCGGGGGTGCTCTGCCATGGTGGGGGGTGCAGGTGAGCAATCCCGCTGTGGCAGTTCTGCTGCTGGAAGGGAAATACGGGCACAAAGCCCGGGCCAGCCCCAGCAGCCCTCATCTGCTGGGGGCCAGACCTCGGGGTGATCCCCCCCAAGGGCTCTGCTGCTTTTACAAGCGTTAAGTTGTAGTTTTGGGGTGCAAAGCGGCTCTAGACCAGAGCTGTGGGTCTCTCTGCGTCCTCAGTGCCTGCAGACCAGGGCAGGTTTACTTCCCCCATCACCAGTGTTGCTAATTCAGGCCTAAAGCATGGGTGAAACCAGGAGCTTTCTGTTTCCCCCAGGTTTCTCACAGGGACCCAGGCCGGTCTGCGGATGACTCTTCTCGCCTTCCTGGGACCCTCTAACTGCCTCCTTTCTGGCACCAGATCAGTGGGGGCTGGTTGCCATCCCCAAAACACCCTCAAAATCCAGGAACCCTCATCCCCACCCTGCCCAGCCACGGGACAGAGCAGCTTTAGGGACAAGACACCACTGTGAATTTTTGAGAATGTTAATTTCTCCTATGATACCTGGTTAGGGGACCCCCCAAGGAGGGTGAGGGCTGGGCCACATCCTGCTCCTCCAAAGCTTCCCAGCCTGAGGTTGAACCAGCACCGCAGAGTTGAAGAGACCTGGGAGATGGGGAACAATAAAAAAAGCACAGTAATTAAAAACAAATCTCATAGAAAATTATATGTCTGCAGTAATGCATGTTATGGAAGGAGCGGGGCAGGTGCCCAGGGGCAGTGGGAAGGGCTGGGGTGTCCTGGCATTACCGCTTTGAAGGCAGAGTGACAAATTCCACCTCCTCTTAGGCTGGTCCTCCGCCTCGCTGTGTGTGGGCAAGGCAAATGGCTTTTCCAGGCAGTGCTGGGGAGAGTGGCACTCGCTGGACCAGAGAGCTGCTGCCCCGTCCCACTGCTGCCCCCCTGCCAGGACAGCTCAGCCAGCAGCTTCCCTTCTGCAACTTGGGATTTCCTCCAGAAGAGCACCCGAGGCAGCTCCTGGCAAGGGAGGATGGAGCCAAACGTGCATCTCGGTGCCCTGCCACCCCGAAAATGCCACCACCCAGCCCAACACCTCTTCTGAAAGCACCACTGACCTCTTGGTCACCTCTTTGCTCAGCTGCATCCTGGCCACCATGTGCACAGTTGGGGTGATGCGAAACATCTACACATTGGTGGTCACTACCATCCCGACGAGGTGCACCAGCTCCGTGTACGTGTACAGTGTCACCTGGGCCCTGGCCCGTCTCCTGCACTTACCCACCATCCTCTGCGTGGTCTGCATGTACTGCGTGTGGGACTGGTACTTTGGAGACTTGGGCTGCAGGATCCTCTTCAGCCTCAACCTCCTCACTGTGCACACCAGCGTCTTCATCCTCACCATCACGAGCACCGAGTGTTACCTGGCCATCACCAGGCCTCAGGACACCCTGCGCAGGTCGAGTGACCACCAGCGGGCAGTCACCTGCCTGGTGTGGCTGGTGGCCTTCCTCCTCACCCTCCCCACTGTGATCCTCACTGACCTGCGCACCAGCCACTGCAACAGGGTGACCAATCACCATCCTCTTCAACACCTGCATCCTCACCCCAGACATCATCATCTGCTGCTTGCACACCAGTCTGGCTAGGACCTACTGGAGGTGCCAGTGGGATCTTGATCTCAGCACCAAGGAATCACCTGATGTCCCCAGCAGAAGGTCCTGTATATGGTCTTCAGCACTGGGTGTGCTTCCTGCCCTTCTGGCTGTGGCAGCTCTTCTGCATCTCTTGGTACAAGCATGGAGACCGAGGTGGCACCACCTTCATCTCTTCCTCAAGACCTGCCTGACCTACAGAAACCCTTAACCCCTTCCTCTACATGCTGCTCTCCAAGAATTAGAGCAAGTACCTGTGGAGCTGGCACCGGGCTGCTGTGAGGCTGCCTGACCCCATGTGTCCTCTCATCCCGGCCATCGCCTGGCTCTCAGGGGGGCTCTGGTCAGGATGGGTGCTCCCTGGGAAAACTGGGTGCCTGTTTCCCACTGGTGTGCCATCAGGTTAAGCCCTTCTGTGGGGAACACAGTGCTGCTGCTGCCTGTGTAAGGCCAGTGAGATATTGAGTACAGTAATAAATAAAAGGATAAAAGTCAGCTTGCCTGCAATGGGGTGACTCTGATCACTGAACTTGCCCTCAGCCTTATGCCAGATCTCTTTCTAGCAGTGTAAATTTTTATCTAGGAGCTCTACTAAAAACTAGTTTATTGCCAGATTAGTCTGAAAAACACTTTCCCAGAGGGAAATCAGGGCTCTGGACTCCCACTGCAAGTCCTCTGGAAACTGCTTTTCCAGATCGTTTCAGCCAAATCTGAGATGAGTCGTTCACTGAGGACTCCCACGGACCACGCTCCCACACTGCCCATATGCCACCAGCATCTCTCTCATTCTGCAAAAGGGGGATGAAACTTCAGAGTCTGAGAAGGAGGGGGAGCTCCCTTTGGATTTCCACCAGAAAGCAAAGGCATAAGAAGCCACAAAAGGTCCCCACTCTAAGCACTGCATGTGGGTGCTGGGGGACCCCACCTTGTCCCCCCCACAGCCATCAATGCTCATGGAGGTAAAGTGAGTGACATGTAGACACCCAAGAGGTTGCATTTCCCTCCTGGCAGGGGTGGGCTCAGCCCATCCGTGGCTGCAGGGGGTCAGCCCCAGCCCTCCCAAAGCCCAAACACGGGGCTGTGTCAAAGGACAGCACAGGCACACGGTGACAGTAAACACAGCCCATGGCAGGCAGCAGGGACCAGTCCCTTCAGAGAAAGGACAGTTGCTCACTCCCCTCCTGCAGAGCCAGACCAAGCAGATCTACCCCTCAGAGCATCCAGCCCAGATTGCACGTGTGGACGTGTCACACCCCGCCCCGAATCCAAATCGGTACTGAAACACACAGCATCAGTCTCACCCGTCCTTGGCACACCCAGGAAAAGCTGCCCAAGCCAGGCATCACCAGCCACCTCCCCTCGGGGTCAGCAAGGGCCAGACATGCTCCTGGACCCAACCCCTGCAGGACTTTGATGTCAGGTCTTGCCTGCCCACATCCGAGACTGGCATCAAGAGAAGCAGGCAGGCTCATTTAATCACCATCCAATTAAAATTTATTTTCAAAATCTCCCAGACCAAATGCTTTATCAGCCCAGGAAGATTAAATGTACCTCAGTTCTCTGACCAAGGCTACCTTTGTGGAAGAGGCCAGGCAGGACCAGCAAGATTCACCTTGCTTGCTTCTTTTCCGCCTCATCACCATACCCAGGTTTCTCTCGTAGATCTTCTAAAACCTGGCCAAACGCCACCACCAGGGTTTCCCCAGCCCTCCAGGAACATTCCTCCCCCTGGCCCCTGCACAGGGACCGCTGTGCCTCAGTGCTTTCCAGCCACAGCCTGACCTTGGTTCCAGGTGCCAACTGCTTCTGAATCTGGGACAGAGATCAGCAAACTTGGCACAACGCTCCAGCAGCCGGCTGCAACACCACTCTTACCTGCCCCTGAAACACCTCTCTTCCACAGGCCATTACAGCCAGGTTGTGGTGCAAGAAAACGTCTGTCCTTCTCAACCTGCTGAGGTTTAACCTCCTACTCACTGTCTTACATCCAACCGTGAGCTTGCCAGGCAGATTTTCTTTTATTGCGTGTTTGTGCAAGACAGGAGGGTCCTGGTCCCGTGTCAGGGGCTCTTGCTCTCTAGAGGGCTGTAAGTAACACAGTAAAGCTCTGGCCAAGGCTGGGAGGGTCAGCAGGACAAGTGGGCATTGCATCATCCATCCAGCAAGTAGTTGTGAGATTGCAGAAGGGGGTTATAAAATTTAGGGCTGACCTTGTTTCAAACTAGCAAGATCAGAAATTGGGGCGGCAGCTCCTCCTCCTGCCCTCCATCACCCACCACACCTGAAAGGATTCTGTCCGTGACAATTTATTGGCAAAGCTTTGGGGTTTTTGTTTTACCCTAAGAAACATGTGAAGAAAGGCTGAAAGGGGAAGCCAAAGGGAGGGTTTAGCTGGGCATCAAACTAAAGCTCGAACAGAAAATATACAGATGTTTGCTTGTGAATTAAAGTCCATTCCTCTGTGCCTTTTTAAAGCACATGCAAGTGGGCAGGGGCTGTCTTTCCCCCAGCAGGCAGAGTGCCCAGGACGCAGGAGCACCATCATAAATCAGAAAAGAAATTGTCACTATGAGATCAGTGCTCCTGCTCAGTCTGGTTTTGTACATCCTGCAGAAAGAGGCAGAGACTGGAAAATTTAACTTGAGGAATTTAATTGACTTGCCAAGCTTCCATAAAAGAGACAGTCAATTCCTTGAGCTCTGTAAGATTTCCTAGGAGAACTATTAATTTTTTATCATGTTTTCAAAAAGTTCACACAGTGCAGAAGTCCTACAGCAACCCCTCTACAGCACACCACATCCACTGGAGCAGGCTACAGGAATCCTCCTATTAGCTGTGTGCACATACCAAGTGTACCAGAAATCAGGAATATTTCCCAAAAATTATTTATTAAAGAAAACACAAAGCAGGAGCAATGTTTGACAGAGCACTGAAGGACTAAGAGCATTTCTTGCTCCAAATCATCAGGCAAAAATTGTTCAGTCCCTGCTACTGGCTGAAATGAGGGGGAGGGCAAAACCAGCTTTTTAATTTTTTTTTTTTAAATAAATTTTTTTAATTTGCTCATTATATATTAGTGCATTTGATCATATTGTTAAGTTACTCAAAGAATAAAAAACATTATTGAATTGTGTGTGTCCCTGTTTTTGTTTGTTTGTTTGTTTGTTTTAAAAAAACACAACAAAATACACAGATTAAAGACATCCCAGATTTCAGCTTTACAGGGCAGGCTCTGCTGCAACGGACACCCCGATACCAAGCAGTGAATGGTCACTACCAGCACCATCCTCAACTCGTACCCATCTTTCTCCACTTGCAAATCACCACTAATTAGAAAAAAAAAATCCAAACAGGAAAGCAGAGATTCATCAGCATTAATGATTCTTTCTCCAACTCTCATTAAGAGGGGGGGATTATAATTTCTTTCCTGAAAATCAAAGGTTTGGAAAAATAACAGGACAAATAATAAGAAGGGAAAGAGATAAAGGCTTCTTAATTAATTAGTTAAAGAATGAATGAAATTAAGTGCTATACCTGAAAAGGAGGAGTTTTATCTGGGCAAATAAATCTGTTAAATCAGGTGCATTTCCATACCTTGGCCCGAGCTGGCTACCACAGCCACAGTCCCACCGCAGAGGTGCTGGTACTCAAAGCAGCATGAGCCACTTCTGTGAGCAAACAGCGATGCTAGACAATCAGGAGAGACCAGTGCTAACAGCAGGACAGCTTCATCATATGGAACTCTGCCTCTGTCAAACAAACTGGAAGGTTTTTTTTTCACCTTACTCATTGTTTTGTAATGCTACACCATTTTCAATTAACAGCAATACTTTCCTTTTGTTGCTGCCTTTTCACTCTGCCTTTATCCTCCACCCCATCTCCAGCTAAGCACCACCACAACTCTTTAATTATGAGCGTATCAATTTTCCTGTGACTTCCATAAATATTTTAACAAATAAAATAGTGAATACCAAGGATTTAAAGTTGTGAGTTTATTGCATATGTAACAAAAATGAACATGACCTCCTGGGTCCAGCCTACTATACAATCACTGTTTATTCCAGCTGGTTCCATAACCACATTAAATAGAACTAGTATTTCTTTAAATACTTTGATTTAGACATAAAATGAAACATTAGTGTACAACTTTCACAAAATAAATCTGCAATAAAAACAGTGGGAAGAATAACAAGGATAGCAGCAATACTTAAACATGACGTTACAAAATAATAAATTAAAAAAATACATTATAAAGTGGTTGAGGAACAAAAAATTAACAAATTAAAAACAGATCCATACTGTGTTTCTGGGAACTTGCTGTGCCACACAGCCCTGAACCTGGGCACTGGCTCCAGAGGGCCCGGTGGCTGGATCACTAATTTACAAAATCTGTTGGATTTCATAACCACCTCGACTTGAACTAAGTACATACTGCTGAGCAAACGCTGATTTCACCATCTGGAGCTTCGAGCAGCCTTTTTGAAGCAGGGTCTTGTCTAACATAATGCCCAAGTTAACGCTAACATTCATAAAACAGTCTCGTTTCTTCCCGATTTAAAACACGAGCAAAGTGGTGGTTTCCTACATCCCTGAGCATATAGTATAGGCTGATGAGCAGTATCAGGGCAAGCACTGAAGGTCTGTGCCAATGGACCAGCTTTTAGGTTTGCCTTTAGGACAGGAACAAAAGACACACTGTACCTTGTATTTCCTTCTGGTCAGATCCCAGAGTATCTGTGTACAAGGTGGAACGTGTAATGACATAAATGAACACCAGACTTGATGTTATTCTTTGGGCAAGTTTGAGAAGTAACAACCAGTTCAAGTGCTGGCAGACCAAGTGGGAATGAACGTACAAATTCAGACAGCTTGAGGTTATCCGAACAGCTCCCGAGACCTCAGAGAGTCAATGGCTCAAGCCAGGCAAACTCCCGTTTGCATATCATCCTTCCCCAGCCTCGAAACCAGCCACGGGAAGAACAAGCCATCGCTTAAAACCCATCCCGCCTCACTTTATTTTCCTCCATCCACCCAACCAGCTTTAAGGCCTGCTGCCTCAATGCATGTACGGAACAATAGAAAAAAATGTCTTCATTGTCACTGAAGTCACACAAAATTGCAAAGACAACATGATGGGAGAGGTGGTGAAGCTGTTTTAAAAGAGAACTGAAATAATTAAAAAGACAGTGCCCTATTCTCGTTACTGTCAGCATGGAGGAGGTACCCTGACAAGGGTTTTTAAATACAGCAAAAACAGACGGACTTTTCAAAACAACAATCCTTGTCTATTCTTATTTTGTGCATTCAA